ATTCTCTGGATGTCTAAAAGCAAGCTCAAACTCAACAGCTGTCTGACCATAGCCACCTCCACTGGGTTGTTCAAGCCAGTAACCTTGGAGCCCTCCTGGACAGTTCATCTCACAGCCCACATCCTATAGGTCAGATCCCACAAGCTCTGCTTTCAAAGCAACCAGAACTTTACTACACCCACTGCCATAGCTGGTCCAAACGTCACCATCTCCCTCAAGCTCTTGATTAGTGGCTGCAAGGGCCCCTCTGGTCTCTCTGCAGCCCAGGCTCGGTACTACCAGCATGGCCTCTTAAACCTAGTTCCGATGGTGTCAATTCTCTGCTCAAAATCCCCACCAGGACAAAGTCTCACACAGTACCCCACCCAAGACCTCACCACCTCTACCCCCTCCCCATTTGGTACACATCTACTCTCACTTCAAGGGTCTTTCTTCTGGCTGCACTGTGAATGCTCCAGGTATATGGTTCCACTTTAAAGGCCTCTGCAGTGGCTGTTCTCTGTCCAGAACATTCTTCAGCAGAGAGCCTCACCAGCAAACTCCCTCACCTTCCTCAAATTGCTGTAAAATCTCATGCTCTTAATGAGCCTCAGCTCCTTGTTTACAACTAAGCCCTACCCCACAATCCTCATCCTCTCTTTCCTTGCCCTATTGATTCAGTATTTTCCATGCTACATGTCACCTTCCAGCATCCACAAAGCTTAGGTCTTCTGTTTGGGTTACTGTCTCTTCCCCACACCCTAGTAGACAGGAAGGCCCACTAGGACAGGGATCTTGGTCTATCTTGCTTATGTGCCCCAAACATTCTTTTTTTCCCAAATCATAGAATTTTTATTATTTTCAAATACTATACAAAAAAATAGACAGCATGTATATCTTGATTAACAGATCGAGAAACAGTCCAAATTGAACAACTATTTTCCTAGTTCAAGTTAGAGCTGCTACAATGATAATTACTGAGTTCTACTCTTTTCCATCCAATCACCTTAGCCTTTATAAGCATAAGAATTCTTGTTTTATTTCTCACAACTCCATAAATTAAAGACATTCCTTTTTGTAAGATGGAGGTGTCTTCAAGGGTACGTTCTTCTATTATACTTCTTGAGTCCTTAAATATCTGACATTTCCTAAGTCTCTGAGATTTCACTCTCTTGTTCTCATATCATGTCCAACACAAAGCACAGTAACCGGGACCTCTTTGTGGTATGTCCATTAATTACTTACTGGGTTTCACACTGCTTAAGTATCTATGAATTTGTAATATTGAATCTGCCACAAAGTCCATTTTGAATATTTCTAAATCCATGTCTATTTTTCTAAACTCAGCTTTACTCTTTGCACTTTACGGTAGATTACATTTTTTAAAGATTAAGTGTAGATGTCGAGAAAAGTGATTCTCCAATTACTTCTTTCACAACCATCCCTGATGTGTACCTATGTATATACCCACCCCATTTGAGTAATACATAACCTCCCCATCCAGACAGCAAAGAGACTTAAGACTTTTCCCTCAACTAAAGAAATTGCCACCTTACTCCATTTGCCTTGTTAAAAAGATAGTAATAGAGGGGGATACCCAAGAAACAACGTAATGATGTTGGAATTAAAAAA